TGAAGCAGTTTGCATGGGTGGATGAGAACAGCAAAGATCCAGAATGGCAAGAAGAGATGAGTTCTTCTCCAAAGGCTGATCATGCCGATGTCTAGAAAGCCCCAGCTATTGGGTGAGAGAGGTAGGGGATGAAGATTTTTTTTTTATTTTTTAATCACTAAAAAATCCTTACCTACCTACTGTATACCCTCTGTGCTTGGCACTGTGAAAGTGAAGATAAATGACAGGACCTCTTTTCCCCAGGACTTCATATTTATAAAGAATTGTTACTCAGAATGACAGGTGCTATAATAAATTATATATATAATAATGGGACAGAGGACAGCGGGGACAAAGGGAGGGATTAGTCAGGCCTTATCAATCCCCTGTTTAAAGTCCCCAGTAGCATGCCACTGCACTTGAAATAAAATCTACACCCTTGACCATGCCGCAGCAGACCCTGCCCGACTCGGCCCCTTCCCATCATCCTCATCTCCCACCACATGGTCCCTTACTCACTCCACACCTGTCCACAAATATTATTTCTGTCCTTGAACACAGCAAGTCCAGATCTTTACCAGGCTTCCTCCTTCTTGACCATTCAGACCTCAGCTCAAATATCTCATCCTCTGGCCAATATCTACATAACACCCTCTCCTCAGTCACTTTTTATGCCATTACCCCGTTGTGTTTTCTCCATGAAATGTCTCACTGTGAAGTTACCTTGTTACTTCTGTTCATCATTATTGTCGGCCCCTCTTCTTTCCATGTGCCCTCCCCCATGTGCTAGCACAGGGGCTTCCTGTGGGTGAGGAAGCCTCATGTGGCGTGCTCCAGGATGTTGCCTGGAGACCGGCACCTAATAGACACTTGTTAAGTATGAACTTGACCTGGGAAAGACAAGAAAGACTGACCAAAGAAAAGTTATAGGTAAAAAAATATCCTAAGAATAGGGGTGGTGGTTAGGGCCAGCTCCAGGACTTTGGCTGTTAGAACACAGGGTGCTGGGTGAAGCGTGGAGATGAGGCTGGAGGGGCAAAGTAGCCCAAGGGCTTGGTTTGCCAGGAATAGGACTCAAAGAGTCCAGACCCTAGAGCAAGAGAGCAGGCCAGGGCCATCCCTCACCAGATGTACAGCCTGGGGTAATCACCTTACCTCCCTATGCCTCTGTTTCCTCATTTTCAAGAGAGCTGCTAATGACAATCCTCTTCTCAGTGGCCAGCGTGAGGACTGAATGAGTTGTTATGTGGAAAATACCCAGTAGCGGCTGGCACATAGTTAGCGAAGCATTGGTACTATGCACTAGAGGGGAATCACTGAAGAGGCTGAGGAGTAGAATGTTGAGATTCGTATTTGTATTTTAGATCATCAGGTTGGTCGTGGGGAGGGGGCTGAGGAGTCAGAGTCAAGGAAACAACTGTGTAGGCAAGACAGACCAAGACAGAGCAGTGGTGGTGAGGGTGATCCAGGAGTTATTAAGACAAGGGACCCAGACATCAGTTTGGGGAAGGAAATGAGGAAAAGAGGTGCTCCAATGGGAGGCTGACGGTGCTATTCCATGCAGGAATACAGGAAGGGGCCAGATTTGGGAGCTGAGTAGGAGGGAGGGTGAGGAGGCGTGATTTCTTCAGCTGTGTCTGGTTGAGCCCAGCAAGAAAACCCCCAAATTTTCCTGGATTGCAATATGATGTTAACATGCTTAGCACCATATTTATAAGTACTTAATAAATGCTAGTGCATAATATTTAGTGTTTATAATTTCTGCTTTTGAAGCGGATACTATGAGAAACAACTTTGTCTACATCTGAGTTTTTCTTTTTAGACTTCTCTAAGAATTACTGGAGCAAAAGACAGGTAACCTTTTGAAGACTCCAATTCATCTTGCCAAATTGCTTTTCAAAAAGGTTGTACCAATATATATTCCCACAATAACCTGACATTGTTAAAAAGCAGCCTCAATGTTTTTTTACAAATACCACTCCCAATATTGCCAGGGTATGGAGAACAGCCCTCTCGTGCACTGGTGGTGGACCTGACCATCAACTTTAGCTCTTCCCTTAAAAGTTGCCAGTTGCCTTTGTCCTAGGGAAACCCCGAAAGGCACTGTCTGTTACTCATTAACAAGTTGCAATACCACAACCCAAACCATATTCTTGAAACCATCATGGTCAGTGAAATACACTGTATGCATAGATACTCCCTTGAGGTTTGGGGATAGGGGTGTAAGGAGAATGTACTTAGTGAACAGAAAGCTCCATTGTACCAAAACTACATTATTTTAACAGTATTTTTCCCCAGAGAACTTTCTTTACCATGATTTAGTGTATAGACATGCGTGGAAATGCCATTTCCTTCGAATCAATAAGTGATTTATGAGAGGGGACCATTCACTGGTCAGATATGATTTTGACCCAGAATAAGCTAAAATTTCTTTTTAATACATATATCAATAGATTTTCCTCAAGCTAAAAGAGAAAGAGCCATTTTCACTGAAGACAGAATTTTCATCAGTTCCACATATGGTTATCATGAATTCTTGGCCATTTAATTACTTTATATGGTTTTGTTATTGTATTTCTAACACTGACCACACACAGTTGAGACATGTCAGGGTAGCAGTACCCAGGGAAGTCAGTGATATGTTGCCGTCTCTCTCTGTGAATGTTTGTTTTGTGTTTGTTAGAATTACATTTGTACATTAAGGAACCAATGTACCTTTAATGAAGTCTTTATGTTCTTTTCTAGAGAGTCCTTACAAAGGAAACTTGGGCACACTATTCTATTCATGTGTGTGTTGAATTGAGTATTTTTTTCTATTTTCCATAGTCCACTGGAGGCCACTTAACCAGGTGGTCCTCAGCACCAACACTTGCCTCGTCTGTTCAGAGCAGTAAGCATCCATCTGAGTCCCAAGGGAGATTCTTACTTTTGGAAGACTTTCTCATACCGAGTCCACAGTCATTGTTTTCAGGAGTTAATGAGAGGAGCCCACAATATTTCCAAAGAGGCTGGGTATAATTCGTATGAAGTGGAACTGGTGTCAAGTAGGGAAGCAAAAAGGATTGTTCTTCTCTGGTAAACCATGATTGATTTCTTCTAGTGTCAGTCAGGGGTGGATCCATCAGAGAATGAGGGAAACGTGATACTTCTCCTTGAAGGTAGACTTGGCAGCTCCACAATGGCCTCCTTCGCTACCAGGACTGTCACAAATGCTTGAAGGAAATTGCTGTGGTTGTGGTGGGGAGTTGAGTAGAATATAATACATCCCAGTCCCAGAGAGTGAATCAGATGTCCCTGGTCCTCCTGGAGCTGTCTGCTATTACATTTAAGAGTTCAATTCCCCAGCCTGAGCAAGAGCGAGACCCCATCTCTACCAAAAATAGAAAAATCAGCCAGGTGTCGTGGCACGTGCCTGTAGTCCCAGCTAGTTGGGAGGCTGAGGCAGGAGGATCGCTTGAGCCCAGGAGTTTGAGGTTGCAGTGAGCTATGATGATGCCACTGCACCCTAGCCTGGGCAACAGAGTGAGACCCTGTCTAGGAGGGGGAAAAAAAATTTTTTTTGTCCATTCCTAAGAGGGGCTCTCCAGAACACAATGAGTACAGTTTACACACGTTGCTGAGCCCATTTACCACAAGTATCTTGAAATCATATGGTTCCTGCCTGTTCTCATTGTTGTTTTTTACATTCTTTGTGTCTGTTTCTATACACTGTGCACAGATTATGCTATAAAGCTATCTCGTGATAAGAAGAATTGAGAGAGGTTGAAACCAAATCTATCTCTATAGCTACAAGTTTCTCCAGAAATAGGTAAAGAGACCTACCTATCTTTTTAAAAATTAGCCATGTTATCCAGTTCCAGCTATAATGGTAATTTATAAAATCATAGAATTTTAGATCCAAGGTATACAGGGGAAATGAATACAGTCCTCCCTCGGTCTCTGTGGGCATTTGGTTCTAGGACTGCAGCAGATACTAAAATCCGTGAATGCTCAAGTCCCTTATATAAAATGGCATTGTATTTGCATATAACCTATACACATCCTTCCATATATTTTAAATCCTCTCTAGATTACTTATAATACCTAATATAAATGCTATGTGAATAGTTACTATACTTTGTTTTTTATTTGTATTATTTTTTATTGCATTTTCCCCCCAAATATTTTCTCCCACAGTTGGTTGAATCCCTGGATGTGGAACCCACAATATGCCTGACTGTATTAAACCAGCTGTATTTTTCAGAACTCTGGCCTCTAAGAAAAAAGTGTTTCCTGGTCAAACAAATTAGGGAAACCCTGCATCTCTTATCTTCTTCCCCTTGAATATTGACAGTGGTCAGTTGTAACCCAGCATTTTCCATACTTATTTGACCACAAGAGTCTCTTTTACCCTCTGTCATAACTGTTAACATCCTGCATGTAGGAAATGAATCCAGTCTCATCATGGAGGTTCAGAAAATTAAGCCACTTGCCCAATGTAACGGGGTCAGCAATGCCAGAGCCAGGGCGGGAACCCATCCATAGTTGATAGCCTCCCTCAGAATGCCTGCATACTGCCACTTGTAGATTATTTTTCCTTGAAATTTGTTGAAAGAGTTGTTTCTAAAGTATCTAGGATCCTAGTTTAATATGGAGAGATTTATTTGTTAGCAGATGGAAAATGTGCCAGTTGACCCATTCAGTTTAGTAGTACTCTTTATTCATACGCAGCAGAAACGGAACCTGAATGGTATGCACGGGGGAGAATAAAACGTTCATGAGGCTCTCCATCCGTGGGGTGGGGAAGGGAGAAAGCCAATAAGCAATTAAACAAGTAGATATGTAATTATAAATTATGGTGCGTGCTATGAAGCAAATGAGCTATGTATGTGCTGTCAGATTGAGTTTAAATTTGCAGTCACTTTTTAATTGACCCAGATTCAAAAGGGATCAATAGCAGCTGTTTTTATGGCTATCTTGGTACTCTCCTCCTCACTACAGTATGAACCACGTAATAGCCTCTCCTCTTCTTGTTTTCCCAGCCCAGTGGAGCAAAATGAGAGCGCAGTGAGCCGGGCCCAGCCTCTCTCCCAGCCGTCCCCGACGCCCACCATGAACCACTTGGAGGGGTCCGCGGAGGTGGAGGTGACCGACGAGGCGGCAGGTGGGGAGGTGAACGAGTCGGTGGAGGCCGACCTGGAGCACCCAGAGGTGGAGGAGGAGCAGCAGCAGCAGCCACAGCAGCAGCACAGTGTGGGCCGCCACCAGCGCGGGCGCGCCATCGAGGATCTCCGCGCCCAGCTCGGGCAGGAGGAGGAGGAGCGCGGGGAGTGCCTGGCGCGCTCGGCCAGCACGGAGAGCGGCTTCCACAACCACACGGACACCGCCGAGGGCGACGTGATCGCCGCGGCCCGCGACGGCTACGATGCGGAGCGCGCACAGGACCCCGAGGACGAGAGCGCATACGCCGTGCAGTACCGGCCTGAGGCCGAGGAGTACACGGAGCAGGCGGAGGCCGAGCACGCCGAGGCCACGCACCGCCGCGCGCTGCCCAACCACCTGCACTTCCACTCGCTGGAGCACGAGGAGGCCATGAATGCGGCCTACTCGGGCTACGTCTACACGCACCGCCTCTTCCACCGCGGCGAGGACGAGCCCTACGCCGAGCCCTATGCCGACTACGGCGGCCTCCAGGAGCACGTGTATGAGGAGATCGGGGACGCGCCAGAGCTGGACGCGCGCGACGGCCTGCGGCTCTACGAGCAGGAGCGGGACGAGGCGGCCGCGTACCGCCAGGAGGCCCTCGGCGCGCGGCTGCACCACTACGACGAGCGCTCGGATGGCGAGTCCGACAGCCCCGAGAAGGAGGCGGAGTTCGCGCCCTACCCGCGCATGGACAGCTATGAGCAGGAGGAGGACATCGACCAGATCGTGGCCGAGGTCAAGCAGAGCATGAGCTCGCAGAGCCTGGACAAGGCGGCCGAGGACATGCCCGAGGCCGAGCAGGACCTGGAGCGCGCCCCCACCCCAGGTGGGGATCGCCCCGACAGCCCCGGGCTGCAGGGCCCCGCGCAGCGGGCGCTGGGCCCCGTGGGCGGCGGCGAGGCGGGGCAGCGGTACAGCAAGGAGAAGAGGGATGCCATCTCGCTGGCCATCAAGGACATCAAGGAGGCCATCGAGGAGGTGAAAACCAGGACCATCCGTTCGCCTTACACCCCCGACGAGCCCAAAGAGCCCATCTGGGTCATGCGCCAGGACATTAGTCCCACCAGGGACTGTGACGACCAGAGGCCGATGGACGGAGATGTAAGTCTGTGAGGGTTCGGGCTTGCTCAGCGCCACGCGCGGCCGGGCGGGGAGACAGCGCTCTGTGGCCTTGCGTGGCATTGGGAAACGACTTTATAGGATAAATGGTCTGTGGGGACGCTAAGAACCTTTCCACCGTTAGCCTTAGAAACAGCCTGCACCTAAGCTCCCGTGAGTGAAACACCAGCGGGAGGGAGTGTTGAATGCGCTCATCAGACCCTTAGCGGGATGCTGCGAATAGGTGGTTCCCACGCTGTGCCTGGGATTTGCTAAGAAACGGATTCCCGGGCACACCATCCCCCACCCCTCGGTTTCTGATTCAGAAGGTCTAGGATGAAGCCCGAGAATTGGTATTTCTAATGTTAATAAAAATCAAGTCCGGGCTGAGTAAGGAGAGACTTTATTGGAAAGGATTTATTGCAAAGGGGAGAAAGATACTATTCCATTAAGGGGAGGGCTATTGCCATAGGAGAACCTCTGACCATAAGATCTGCAAGTGCCTGTAGGGTTAGGCAAACGGTTTTTTTTTTTTTTCTATAGGAAGGAGTAGCCAAGGCTAGAAAGAACAGGATGTGAGGAAGTGGGATGAAAAGGATGTGAGCTGAACGCATTAAGACTTTAATCCTAGGAGTGGTTGTATGCTGACCAGAGTTCATGCACTTAGGGGAAGGAGAGAAGCTTAAGCAAAGCTTGGTTAACAAGCAGTTCAGCTAATCATGTATGAAGCAAAGAATGGGAATTTAGAGGGTCTGTGTCTGGCTTTGTCACAGGTAAACAAGGGGGCATCTTTGAGACTTAGTAATGTGGGCAAGGGGGTTTCCTTGCTGTAAGCCATTTCCCAGGACACAAAAGAGTGAGGAAATTTCTTAACCTTCCCTGTGTTTCCAGTTTGCAGAGCTCAGGTAAAGTTCAACATTATCACTAACAAGTTCCCAAGTGATGCTGCTGGTCCCAGGACCACAGTTAGAGAACCACTGCCTTAAAGTAATCTCTTAAAGGTGGGATAGGCGGTTTAGGATTTCTCTTTGGGAAATGAAATCCTTCTGAGCCTTTTCCTGCCAGGGGTTTCTGCAGGTTTTTTTTTTTTTTTCACCCACCCTGTGCCTCATCGTGAGTTTCATAGGTGCTTAATTTTCACTTCTGGTCATACTAGGGCATCTTTCCCGCTTTACAAAAGACGTGTTTTCAGTTTTAAACCAAATTGTGTTTCATTGTGAAGAGTAACACAAAGCTATTGATGCCATTGTTGACATTTTGTTTTCCATTTTTGAAATACCTAAGAAATTTGATAACATAGCCAGCCTAGGTGTCACAATCTGTTCAAAATAAATTAAGAAGACTCACCTTTGTTCCTGCTACCTTGCTGTAAAGATTCTCTTTCTGCTCTCTCACTTTTCCATTCTCTTGAATAATTTTTAAGCAATTTCATTTAAAAATGGATCTTGGAGTAAGAGAGCGTCAAGAGGTTAAAATCAATTTCATTTAATTCTGCATTTTATGATTGCACCAGGCTGTTTCTCAATATATATCTTTTGGAGTGAGAAACTGTTATTGTAAGCTATTTGTTCATGTTCCTTGTACATAGGACTATGCAGGTCAGAGAGGTAGCATTAACCTCTTCTTTTAGTAATAGTCAACATTTGCTGTCAGCTGATTAAACTGCTGTCACCTTTAAGGAAAGGTTGGAAACCAATAGGCCAGGGAAGTCTCCCCAGCAAGGGGGCAGCATTGGGTTTGTTAGTTCAGACTTGCCCTGTAGTTCTCCTCTGTTTTCTAGGCTTCTAATTCAATGAAAAACAGGTGCACTCACATGCAGAATTCTCCTTGACTTCCAGCTGTCTCCAAGTTCCTCCTCGCTAAGAGGGACTGCAGCGTTTTGCAAATGAGGTGGAAATGAAGCAGGTTTTCAAAAGTAGGGAGCTGGCAAGAGGCCGGTTTTTATATCCTTTTAGAAACTTGGAAAGCCATCAGAGGAAAAGCTACAGGAGCGATTTGGTCCAGATGCTGGCCTCTTCCTTCAGCTTTCTCAGGTGTATCAGCTCCTTGAAATGACCTGCTTAACCACATTGCAGCCTCACGATGAGCCCATAGCACAGCCATGGTAGGGCCAGGAGCTGGCTTTTATTCATTGAACTTGGAGAACAACTTAATCTCTTGCATGATGTTTCATTCAAAAGGTAGAATTAATTATAGAACACTGAAGCATACTTTAGGAGCCCACACTGTCAGAAATCCAGCTTGATGCTAAGAAATCAGCAGGTAGGGTTTACTGGGTTATGAATAGTTAATACAAAGCAAAACCAAAAACCTGTGTTTTAAAATACTCCACCAGTCATTTTTAAGCCATTTGAATTTGTGGGTTGTATTTCATCTGTCATGCCATATTTATAGGAAAGACCTTCATTTGCTATCCCTTTGCTTTGATGATATCATGGGAGGGGAGGAATATATATATGTTCTGTTTATTTCCACCTCAGCATCAAAAAATATTTACTGAACACTCATTCTCCATGTATTCTGTTACAAAAAGGGAAAGGTGCTGTTAAAAGCAGTGTGGTCTGAAGTTGTCTGGGAAGTACTTATTAAAGATGCAAGTTACTGCCCTTCCTTTCCAAACCGGAATACCTGATATGGGGCCTAGTGATCTGTCTTTTTGTTATGTTTTGTAAATTCTCCCTGAGATTCTTAAGCACATGAAAGGTTGAGAACAACTGATTTAAAGGAAAAAAAAAAGTATTATCCGGGCAATTTCCCCATGTAAGGGCTGGTGGATTTGAGACTTAACTAAATCTTTTATTAGCATAAATACAGTTTTAACAAAAGGATTTGTCCCGCTGTGATTATCGTCAGCAGACCTGCAGAAGTGGCTCTGGAATTCTTATTATAAAAGCAGTACATTCTCAAAATGGCAAGATCAGAAACTGCAGTGAAGCAAGTAAGGAAATAAAAGACACCTGTATTACCACTCACCAGAGATCACTGCTAATATCTAAGTCTGCTTTTAACACTACTTTTAATTCCCCCAGAACTTCTGCACCTTACACTTGGAGCAAACTGGCATATCTTTGCTGGTGGGTTGTACAGAATGAGAAAATAAAATCGTTCATCCGTAAGAATGTACCAAACACAGATGCTCTGCACTGAGAGAAAATAATTGTTTCCTAAAAATTTCTAGGACAAATTAGGATGCATAAGGATTTTAAAAAAGAAAAAAAATTAAATTAAATAAAAGTTTGAAGAAATACTTATGTGTTTTGCCTTCTACGAAGGAGTTTCACTTTTCCAGGTGTATGTTTGATAACTGTCTCCCAATCCCCATCTTGAAATGTATTGATAATGACTGACCAATTCCACAAGGCCACAGCCTACTGATCTCTTCAGGCAGCAGACTCATTCTAAGTAGACAGCAAAATCAAAATCACGGTAGGCTCAGAGATTGATATTAGCAAGCACACAGTGGCAATGCGGGGGGGGGTTGGCTACTTTGAGTGGTGTGTTATGCAGCTTGAAATGGCATTTATCTCTGTTCCCTCCTAAAACTCCAATAAAGTGACAGTAAAATAATATAAAGCACAAAGACTGAGAGAGGAAATAGCAGCAGATAAGAACAACAAAATTTTGGAACACCAAAGTGGTGACTGGCTGTGGTAAAGGTATTTCCAGTTGCTCCCAGTGCTCCCAGTATTTCCCAGTGCTCCAGTATTTCCAGTGCTCCCAGTATTTCCAGTTCTACTCTGTCTTCAAACACAGGAAGGATTGCACTTCCTCATCCCCTAGAAGTTAGGCGTGGCCAGTGAAATGTGAGCACTGAAGTGTGTTGCTTCTAAGTGGGAGTAGCTAAGGCCACATTTTCTTCCCCCATGGAAACAAACCCCTCATGTTAAGATGGCGGCATCACAAGATGGCGGCGCCTCTGTCAGCACAGGTGCTGCCTGACCACGATGAGCAGGGTGCCCTGCTGAGCTGTGCAGGACTTGCGCTGTAAGAGAAGAATCAACCTTCGCTGTTTTAGGCCACAGGGATTTTGGGGTGGTTTGTTACAGCATAGCCTGGTCAATCCTGAATAATACATAGATGAAGTTTCTGTTTTCTCTCTTCCACCAAGTGTTTGTGAGGATTTGTGCTATAGACCACCCCCCAGAAAGGCTTCGGAATTTGAGACACCAGATAGCTCAGGTGGCAGGAATATGGGGGTGTGGTTGAAGAAATAAGAAGATTATTTGAAGGGCTGTCAGAGAAGACATGAGATTTCCTGATACCTTGTCCAGCCTGTGCAGGCAGGTGACTTCTCCTCCCCAAAAAGGATGGGAGGCTTCTATAAGGAAAGGGTGAATCAGAGAAGCGCTGAAACTGGGGCCACTAGCTGCAGTTAGAAATGGGAACAGTGGGCCTACGAAGCAGTGAGATCCCAAGGATGCCTTAGAATTCTTAGCGGTCAAGCTTAGAACCCAACCCACCAGGACCCCCAGTCCCCAGCAGGTTAGAGATTCCTCTCTGAGGAGACAAGCCCAAAAGAAAATACCTACAGATATTGATGTTTGGGGGTTCTCTGGCACAACACCTGGGTCCTCACCTGATCACCCCATAATAAAGGCTCCTGCCACTCATGATCTTCCAGTAGGCTTTTTGGGGACCCACTCTTAAAATATGAATGAATAGCAAGGAGCACCAGACGTTTGAAGAATATGTCTAACATGAGAGACAAATACATAGCGCAAATGCAAAAAGACACTTGGAGAAATAAAGGCAGTGCTCAAAGCAGGAAACTATAAAACATTTGTAATCAATATCCTCAAAAAGTAGGAGAAGATAAGGGAGCAATTAAATTGGAATAGGATGCCATTTGGAAAAAAGAACATTCTAAAACAAAGGAACTCTTAAACTAAATAATATGGCAGCAGAAATTAAAAAGAGAAAAAAAACACTTTAGTAGGAAGGTTAGAAGACAAAGTTGAAATCTTCAAGGCAATAGAACAATTATGGTAAAAGAATGGAAAGCA